GGGGGGGGGGGGGCAGCCCACAATCTCCCAGGCAGCTGGGCTCCTCTGGGACTAAAATAAGATGCCCTAGGGGGCCCAGGGTGGGGCCCTCCATCCTAACAGGTTGAGTGACACCCTGCCAGGCTGGGTATAAAATCGTAGATGTGCATATTAGAGCTCCTGGCATCAGACACAAAGAGACTGTCCATCTTAAGAAAAGCTCACAGTGGCACCTCAAAGCCGATGGCATTAAATCCAGTCCTTTGCAGGGCAATCCAGGCCACCTCCCTGACTGCAGCCCCACCTATATTTTCCAGCCTCAACCTCCACCCCCACTCCCCATGCCTGCTATCTTTCAGAAGCTTGCTCCCAAGTGGGCTTTTCCCTACGGGAACCACTCTACATCAAATACCACTTCCCCAGGTTCTGTGAGTCCAGCCCCTTCCCAGAGCTGCCCAGATGACCCATCCAGCACTTTGCCCCAATTCTTTGAAACTTTATGAACCCGCCATCTCCCCTTTAGCATTTGCCACTGGCTGTCTCATTCTAAGGTGATGTGTGCCCTCACCTCCCCAACGAGGCTATACGTTCTTGCTGGCAGGACCCATGTCTTTGGACTCCCACAGCCTGGCATCAATAAATGATAGCTGAATTTAAAAAAGAATGGGCAGAGGGCTAATTGGCTGAACCATGTTTATAACAAAATTCAAACAGGATTCTGTAAGGACAATGAGGCACCTCAATGACTCTGAGCAAGGAAAGAGCATGTGTGAATGCTTTCACCAACATGTGCCTCCTTAGGCCTCGCCTCAGCTCTGAAAGACAGTAAAATATTTCCTCGTTTTCCAGGTGGGGAGAAGCTTTCCTGACCTCGGCCCTGCAGCCGAGACCAGGCTTCTCAGTGACAGACGTGCTCTCTGAAGCTCTGGACCCCTCCTTCAGGCTTCTTTCCTCAGTCATAACTGAATGACTCTGTAAGCAGCAAACTCCAGAATGGCAGAGGCCGTGCCTGTCTTATTCTTTTCTTGTACTATTGATTATGGCTGTACATGAAATACACCAAAATGTGTAATGTCTTAAACATAAAAGAAGGGGATTCCTTGTTCATGGAACAGTTCAAAGTGGCTGGTCCTCTTCATGGCAAGTTTCCTCCACAATGGGATTCAGAGACCCAGGTCCTTTCCATCTTGTGGCTCCACCATTCCCTGTGGCTGGTGGGAAGGGAAGGGGCAGTGGAGTTGGTGGGGGCATACCAATTTCTCCAGAGCCTTGTCCAGAAAGGGCACATATCACTTCTGCTCATACTCTGTTTACCTACTCGGTCACATAGCCACATTGAGCTGCAAAGGAAGCTGAGAAACACAGTGCGGCCATGTGTCCAGAAAGAGAGGATGTGAATTCTTAGTGAGCAGACACTCTGCTGTATCTGAGTCCCCAGCATCTAGCACGTAACAGATGCTCAATAAATGTAAGTTTGGTGAAGGGACTAAAGATCATAGTGGCTTAACAGGGTCTCACAGAGAGTCACTAACAAGCTGGGGAGCTAAGGCTCCCCCAGCAAAGTCCAGAAACTCTAGGCTTGGAAAGCCCATGCTGCCTCTCCAAGCCTAGAGCTTCTTTACCCAACAGCCTGCCTGGCTACAACTGGAGAGAGTCCAGCCCTAGGAGGACACCAGCGGGTGCCAATTGATAAATCACAGCTATTAGGAGTGTTCTTTGGAGATAGCATAGAAGTCAAGGAATTACTGGGGGGAGCTCTGTGGGTGAATTACAGGGAGCAAAGGGAAGAACTCAAGGGGTTGGAGAAGCGTGGAGTCTGGGTTTGTTGACGACATCTTGGAGCACTGGCCTGGACACCTGGCCGAGCATCTGCTCCTAACCCTGTGTTATGGGCTGAATTGTATCCTTCAGATTCTTACATTGAACTCTTAACCCCATGTCTCACAATATGACCTTATTTGGAATATGAGTCTTTAAAGAGAGAACCAAGCTAAAGTGAGGTCACTAGGGTAGAGCCAATCCAGGATGACTGTTGTCCTTATGAAAAAAGGCAACTTTGGAGATGGGCACACAACACAGAGGGGGAACACATGTGAAGATGAAAGCCGAAGTCAAGGTGATGCTTCCGCAAGCCAAGGAATGCCAGCGATTCCCAGCAAACCCCTGAAAGCTGAGAGGAGGCCTGGGACGCATCCTTCCTCAGAGCCCTCGGAAGGAACCAGCTCTGCCCACACTTGATCTTGGACTTCTGGCAGGGCCCCTTTTGGCTAAGGACAGGTTGGCTGTGAGTACACAGCAAAAAGGGCCAATAGAAGAGGGCGCCGGGTGGGGCTTCTCTGCACCATACTTTCCCCAACACTATTTGTACTGAGCACATGCTACTATTGTGCCTGGTGCTAAAGCTACAAGTCTGAGTTAGGCATCGCTCTCAGCTCCCATTCTGGGGGTACTGTTAAGACAGGAAGATAAAATAAGTGCCAGTCAGTCTCCTTTCAGGTAGTGTTGCGGACAGTGGGGCAGGGGAAGGGATAAGAGGTGTTCTAGGTCCTGGGCTCCTGTCCTGCACTTGTGGCTGAGCTCAAAGCCGAGGTCAGGGGCTCAGGTGTAAGGCCCACATCTGGGAACAGATGGCCCTGCGGGGGCTTCTCAGACACATGATTTCAGAATAGCCCCATCATTCCCAGTAGCGTGTGCTCAGCACAAATAGTGTTGGGGAAGAAGCCCCACTCGGTGCCCTCTTCTACTGGCCCCTTTTGCTGTGTAGTCACAGCCATCCTGTCTGTGAGCAGAAAGGGGCCTTGCCACACCACGCTCCTCCTCCCCCACCCAACAGCCCCACCCATCCAGAGCTGCCTCTACGGAGGCCTGGAGGTGCCACTGGAAATGTTTTCTTGAACCCAGCACTCTGGGCTACTCTGTGGTGTCCCTTCCTGATCTGTCTTGGGGAGAAAGGCCAGAGGCCGAGGTGGCATTAGAACCCCTTCCTGCCTTCAGAGAGGATTCTCGGAAAGGGTGGCGCTGGAAGAACACTGCATGGGACCGCAAGGAGCTGGATTCCAGGGGCCACTGCTCTGCCACCTGCACTCCAGGCATCCCCTGAGCCTCTTCTTTAAAATGGGGCAAAGAGGACTTTCCTTTGCAGCGTAAGGGGAAAGCCCGATCATCCAGAGCGGGGCCTCTGCCGCGGGACTGTGAAAGCAGGTCCTTCAACGTCTCTAAGCCTCTTCATCTTCAGAGGAGCCTCGTTGCAAAGCTGAAATGGGCCGATGCATCGAACGTGCTCAGCTCATGAGCAGGGCTTGCTTGCAGGCAGTGTATGTTGGGGGGCCCTCTTAGGGAGCAAGCTTGGGGGAGGGCTGGGGGGTGAAACTGAGACGGAGGGAGCGCCAGTACAGGGGCAACCCTGAGTTGATCTTCCCTTGGCTGCGTCCTACTGGAACCTGCCTCCCAGAAGCAGATAGGGTGCATCTAAGCGTGGAGGATGGGAACATCTACCACCGGCTCCCCTCCTCCTGCTCAAAGGTTACCCCGGGGGTCCTCATCCCTTGAGCTTCCAGCTTCTGTGGGTGCTGGAGCCAGGCAGCTCCCCCAGGGCTATCCACCCAGTGCCCTGGGCAAAAAGCAAGAAATCGCTGGTGCAGCTAAAGCGAGGCGTTGGCTGGTGCCACGTGTATGGAGCTGGTTGCTGCATCAATGAGTGGCTGGAGTGAAAGATGGGCAGAGAAACATCCAAATTCTTGGGACAGCTCGGGAAGCAGCCAGGAAGCCAGCTAATTGGTAAACGACAGGAGAGCACGTGCCCTGAGCTCATCAGTGGCTACTCCCGATTAGAGGTGCCAAGAGGTGGACGCCGGTGTGACGCAGGCCCTGCTTCCCACACTGTGTGAGGTCAGACTGGGCCGCCGGAGGCCAGCAGGACGCTTGGCAGCAGCTGCAGAACAAGAGCTGGGCCCAGCTGGAAACAGTCCCAGCCTGGCTGTGCGGGGCCAAGGAGATGAGCTCCTTGCAGGAGCAGGGAGGCTGACCCGGGTGTGAGGGGTCAGGTGGCAGGGCAGGACCTGACACCCTGTGTGCCCCCCTCTCCACCCATGTCCAGTTCTGTCCTGGGCATTCCCACACTGTCGGGGAGCAGGGGCTAGGAGAGCTGGATGGAAGATTCTGGAAGGGAGGACTGACCTGCCCTCTGGCAGTTACTGCACTACCCAGGGGGTCCTGCCTCCCCCCCTGGGAGGGTACTTCTCACAGTGGGGAGGGGAAACCAGGCGGGAGATGCCTCGGGCTTTCTGGAAGTTTCTCCTGCTCTATGTTCTCTCCCATCACACTGAATGAGGGTTTGGAATCGCCTTGCCACCTGTGTGCAGATCTGGCATGTACCTGGGGAGGGACTCACCATAACTGTTTGAGAGAGGGGGAAAGACACAGACAGACTGACACCGGGAGGGCAGATTTCATCCTGATTTACTTGAACCACTCATACCCTCCCCCATCAGCCCCTGCCCCTCCCCCTACACAGGCCCTTCAAAGCTCCAGCCTCACTGGGCGTCCCTCCTCTCCCCAAACTCGCCAAGCTCTGACCTGAACCCTGTCTTTTCATGGCTTCCTTCCCTGCCGAGACGGCGCCTCCACCCAGTTCCCAGTGGCAAATTCTTTGCCATTTCTTAAGACGTCACTCTGCAGTCTCCTTGGGTAGGGGGACTGCACGCCCAGCTTGCCGGAGACAGCTCTGCTTGAGGTCTCGTCTCAGAATAGTTATTGATGGTGTGTCCTTTCACTGTAAATGACATGGTCGCCTTCGGGGCACTTTCCGGCTGGGGACGCCGAGCCTATCTTCTCTCCATGTCCAGGGCCTGCACAGGGCCCGGCAGCCACGCAGTCACCGGGTCCAGAATGAATGGGCCAGTTACAATGTCCTTGTTCTCTCTTTTCCTCCAGGGATCTATAAAGGGCACTGCTTCCGGATCAATCACTTCCCAGAGGACAACGACTATGACCACGACAGCTCGGAGTATCTCCTTCGTGAGTGTCAAGACTCCCTTGCCTCCTTTGTGTGCGGAGGGGAAGCCGGGTGGCAGGTGGGCGGCTGGAGGGAAGATGGGTTCTGGGGGAGA